TTCAGAAAGCTATCCATTATTCAAGAATCGGGCCCTTTCTCACCTGCTTCATGAAAAAAAATCCCTTGTCACCATAATAAACAAAGAGTTTGTTTATTTACTTCTTTTTTGGATAACATATCACTGATTCATCAGGCCCCAATAAGTACCTACTACTTTCTAAGTTATCTTTGTAGAATATTTCAAAAGCATAGTATGAAAAACATTATTTTATGTCATTATTAAAATTGTGCTGTTAGCTAAAACTGCAAAAATATGATGACAGTTGAAATATAAGATAGCAAATAGTTAAATAATGAGGTAAGAAAAAGGTAACATGGATTCTTGGAAGGATCTCAGATTTGCAGCAAGATGGACATGGATTTTAGTTGCCGCAACAATAACTTGATGACCTTGAGAACATTACGTAATTGTTGATCTCCTTGTGCTCATGTGTAAAGATGGAAATATCTGAGTATTGTAATAAGGACTGAATCACATGAAGATACAGTCAAGTCCATTTCAGCATCTGTCACATAACAGACACCTCATAAATTGTAGTGCCTTAATTATTTAACTAATAGTGTTTTCACTTTTCCATATTTCAGATTCCACAAGCCATACCTGGATATAATAATAGTATTTACCTCATGGAGTGATACTGACAAATAAATGCGATTACCCATGTAAATCACAGAGCACAGCGCCTAGCATGCAGCACAGTACATGCTTCAGAAAGTTACCTCTTGTGAAGAAACTGTTATGTTGAATTCTTATCACCGAAACATCCACACACATTATCCCAGAATATATAATGTACTTAATTATACCTAGTTCACACACCTGAACTAATATATCATATAAATTAAAAATAATAGAAATTTTGAAAGAAATGGGCAAAGAAAACAAATTAGGTAATGATAGGGTGTGTAAGTCTATATTTTAATATTTTGGAGGTTTCATTCCATTTAGTTGACTTACTAAATTCAGTCATTATTTTATCACTTACATATTATTCATTATGATGTATAGCTGTTAAAAGAGTTACGAAAAAAATGTTAGTTTTACGGTTTGGTTGCATTATATATATTGTCTCAATTCATAGTTTCTGGGCAGGAAACTTTTTCTTAAAATATGTATTTAGTTAAAATGAGATTGTATAAATCATAATCTAATTTGGCCACAGGCAAATTGCAATGTCTCAAATGCCATAGTGAATGAGTGACCAAGAGATATTGCATATTCCTCTAGACTGTGAGCTCCTGTGTTTGTCAAGCACATTTCTAGACACTTGGCCATCTGGTTGAATTAGTGCACCAGGGTCGATCCTTATGTTAATTCCAGAAATACAAATTAAACTGTTTATTTCTTTAGATAAATGTATGAGCATTAACAGAAGTTTTATTATTTTCCCCTTGTTATTCTAATAGTATTGTTTATACACCCAACAAGTTGTGTGGATCCAAATCAGAGTACACTGGTTTAGGGACTGAGATGAATGAGAACTAAAGACACTAGATTAAAGAAACATTGAGAGAGAAGAGCTAGCAAACACTGAAGCCATCAGGTAATAAAACATTAAGGGAAGGAAGCTATCAAATACAGAGGGACTTTTAGGACAATGAAAGATCCAGCAGTACTAATAGCAACAAAGAGGTCAAGGAGAAAGAGGAATTGAAAAAGAGATTATCTGTTATTATTCCATTAAAAAAAATCTCTCTCTTTCTAAATACATTGTGTTCACACAACTATTTTTAAATTTTTATTTACAACTTATTCACTTTCTATTTTCAAAATGTTGGAGCCAGTACCTTAATTGTTGTTAAATCATCAAAACAAAGATAAAGCTACACAATAATAAGATGAGTTAGGCTCACATAAGACCTACAGGTCTTCTGTAATCGTATCTGTCCTAGTTTTCAATTATAAATTGTCATGAACTTAATGGCTTAAAAAAATAGTTCTCACATTCTCCATGGGTCAGAGTCTTTTTGCCTTCCTTAACTACAGTTCTCTGGAATTCTTGGCAATCTTGGTGATGTCTGCAACAGTGAAGAGAATTCCTCAAAGAAACTTCTCCTTTATATTCTCGCCAAGCGAATGCCTGCTTATCGGTGGCTATGAAGTTGATTAAGGCATGATGCTGGCAAGTCGCTGCCCTTGTATCTGTTGCCTTTCTGGGAAACACTAGGAATTTCACGAGCCCCATCTCATGAGGTTTCCATAATGCCTGTGAGGCGCAGAGAAAAATAAATTTAAAGGTAGTGTTCATTATGAGATCAAAGTATCAAAAAAAGGTTGGAGCTGTCTTCCAGACACGTAATATTTTCTTTAATGTTGAAATTTAATAAGTTTTCATTGTTCAGATGATCAAAGACTTCTCTCAAATAGCTGGCTGTGCTTGCATTAATGAAGGATCATAGTCCACTGCAAATCTTATGGTATTTTTCTCATGACAGTGATCTCAAGTAATACTTGACATACAAAAAAGGTTTTGAGGTCAAATAGATTTTGGAAAATGGTTATATCATATCTCGTAAGAGATTTGTAACTCATTTGTGCATTATGAAAAACTGGATTTCAAATTTCACTGTGCACTTGAATTGCTGGATTGCTGATTAAAAAGGTAAGTCCTATATTCATAGGACAGGGTTATCACCCAGGGGAATTATTTTTTATCACCCTATGTAGGCTGATCATTCAAGAGCAAAACTAAGAAATTGTGTGTTAAAGGCTCTGAGAACTACTTTAAATACTGCTGTTTAATGTTCAAGTAAAAGTTTTCCCTAAACTTACATGAACTTTATTAGTCTAAAATATACTTTCAGAAAACTCACACTTTGCAGGTTACTTTCTGCATTTTGAGCTTGACTTCATAAAATTATTTTAGTTATTTTTTTCCAAGGCTGAATGCAAGTATAACAAAAACAAAGGTCTGTTGTATTGTTACAGTAAAAACAGAATAATTATAATATTCCAGGGAAATTTTACTTTCTGTGTCTAACTCATACCCATACAACTTAAAAAGGAAAACATTCTTAGGTACCATTGAAGATTCCTCTGTGTAACTACCTAAAATTCTCTGGGATAAGGCAGTCAAGGTTTTGACTCCTGATTTCCATTATCATAGTTACAGTCTTACTTTTCCACTATACTGTTGGCTTATTTAGAAAAGGGGCTATATGCAACCATTTTGGAGCTTCTATCAAATATACCTAAATGTCATCATATGAAAAATGCAAGCATTTATGAAAATTCTAAAAAATGAAATATTTTCATAGCCAAGGTTTTATTCATTTATTATTTATGCACTGTTTACATACTGACCACTTGCTACCTAATAGGCACCTAGCTGGAATCTTAGGCTGATAAATGTAGCCTCTATCTTCAAGGAACTTACAGTATATTGAGGAGCCAGACATGCACATACATCTAAAAACATTAAGTGCTAATGTTTTTAATGCATTGTTCCTTTAGAGTGGGAAAGTGTGACCAGCCTATCTAATGCTAGGGAGGGAACACGTAGCTGGTTTTCAGGATCTCACAGTGAAGAGAGACTTTTATGAAGGTGGTAGGGGAGAGCACACACACAGACACAGAAGGGCAAAGTAACATGGTGAGTGTTCAGTTAAGTGCCACACAGTGTGAGAATGAGGAACGTGTAAAAGAACTTTGCTCTCAAAGCTGAGTTGTAGTTGGTTAAATCTCCTATACAGCTTCTTGAGGTACCATCCACTCCTAGAATTTATGGAATGTTAGAGTTCAAAGCCAGCTTCAAGGTCCTCCTTGTTTGACCCCAAGGAAAGAAACTGACTTATTCAAGGTTAGAGTTACACAGTGGCCTTGAACTATTAAACTCCCAGTTGTGTATGTTTTATTCAGGGAAATTACTAGGGAAAAAATCACTACAAAAGGTACATATTCTCACACTAAACAACTTTTATAGTTGCTTTAAAATGTGTTTAAAGTAAAAAGGATGAAGAAAAGGAAGGGATGAAGGGAGAATGAGAGGCAGTAAGGAAAGGAGAAGGGAAGAGAGGCAGACAAAGGAAAAAGAAAGAAAGGGAGGGAGGGAGAATTCGGTATTTAACCTTGGTTAAAATGAAAATGAAGGCCAACTGGAATATGCTGCCAGTAATTCATCTTCTTCAAGACTATTGAGGCTAATTAGTAAGATGAGATTTCCTAGTTAGTAAAATATAGGATCTTATTCCCAGAAAAATAATCTTTTAAGTTGTTGGAAGAGTTTTTGCTAGACAGATTGATGATGCTGACCTAAAACAAAACAGGCTGAGGGACATTTCTTCAGCAATGATGGGTTTATTTGGGGTCAGCAGAAAATTGCAATTTGGGATCTGCAACCATGGTGAGCAAGGTGCAAGTCCCCGCAAGACAAAGGAGGGAGAACTCTTTTCTAGAGGGGGAAAGGACGTTGGGAGGATTGTAGTAAACAGAGTCCATGGCTTTTCGTGGGCTGAGCTGTTGCCAGGACAGAAGAGGAATCTTTCTTCTTCTCATTGGGTTCAGCTACTGTTGCAGAGTGTGAGACCTCTCCCTTTGGGTCTCCTGACTCTATTTACTTGTGGTTCTGTTTAGTAATTGTTCACAATGATCCATGTTGTTTAAATTGTTTACTGCTCGCAATATTGGTGTTCCTGCAGGCATACAGACCATGGACATGTTTAAATCTGAGAGTCTAGACACATCATGGATGTAGAATAGAGTAGTTTTGTAATGCTTTACTTTGAAAAAAAATTTTTTTTTGCAAAGAAAGAACTTTCCATTGGAACTGAACATGTTGTAGTAGCCAACTGTCATAAGCGCCACTGAGATCCCCAAATGGAACGTGAACGCTTCTTCTCTCCCTCGGATCTCACTCATGTTGTGATGATTTCATCCCTAGCTTGACCTTTCAGCTTGTCTCAAAATGAAGGAACTTTATCAATGGGAAGAATTCAAGGTCGATTTTCTATTCCTTCCCTTCATTTCATTTAATATCATTGACCTATTTTCAATTGCAGCTTTTACAGGAGAACACGGCCTGTTCAATGAAGCTGGAAGGAAATCCCCCACCCCCAGGCAATGACACTGCAGAATCAGAACCTGTCCCACAGGTATTTTGTTTGCTTGTTTTGATTATGTCAGAAAGAACTTTTTGACGTCACTGAGTTTCATGAGTTTCTCTCTTGCTCTAGCTGAAGCAGGGATGTTGTATTGGCTAATACAAGATATATCTCTCCCCTTTTTCCTCTGAACCTTTCCATGACCACTGTGTCTGCTGCTAAGCTTTTGATTTGATTAGCTGAGGTCCTGGAAGAGCAAGGGAGAGGGAGGTGTCCCACCCCACCCTGGCAACCAAGAAACAAAACAAAACTCAACAGAGAACAAAAAAATATGCATGTATTCTTTATAGGACCAAAAAAAAAGTTTAAAAAAGATGACTTGGGAAAGGTAGAAAGAAATACATATCTCCCACAAAAACAAACAGCAAAGAAGCACAACTCAGGAGCTTAATTCTGAACTTCCATTTGGTCTGTTCCATATTTGACCAAAAAGATTGCAGCGTACCAATCATCAGGAATCATTTTACTTAACATTTTTTTTTTCAATTTCGGGGTTAGATTAATCAGAGTTGAATGATTTGGCCAAAGTTATCTCAAAAGAGTTTTTTAAATATCTTGCCATTTGTAGAGAATATTTTATGTGATTTCATGAAGCAGCAGTATTATTAACATATTTATACTTAATTTTGTCTAGCCATGGTTTTCTGTAAGATACTTGTTGAGATATATGAATTATTCTGTTAGGATCTAATTTTTACGTTAAACATTTCAATTTTGACTCCCTGAATTGTCTTTTCTGTATTGTTTGACAGGACATGGCAGTGCCTCCTTGTTCTGAATGTGAAGAGGGAAATAAGCCAGAAAAACAACGGAGCAGCACTGAGGGGAAGGCGACTAGAGAAAAAAAATTACTGTAAATACCAAGAAACTACGTTAAAAACATCCGTTTGCTATTGTCTTCATACTCTTTTTAGACCACAAGCTTGATGGAAATACTAAGTTTTTAAAGCATGCAACTTTTTCACAATTTTATGTAACTTTTTAAAGTAGTCTACAAATTTTCCAAAAGATTCCAGGCTGATTATGATCCTTAAGCAATAACCTAATTAAAGTGGATATCCACAGTCATAAATAGTCATTGTCATCAGTAAATTGCCCAGTATAAATTGGTCTTTTCTGAACTCAAATGCAGTATAGCATTTAATTCTTCCAGTTCATTTGGGTATCTAGTACTTCTGTGATCTAGTTTTTGAAATCAACTGAGGATGATAAAAGATGGTGGCTCCTCAGCATTCTTCGTATCCAAATTAAAACCACATCATGAAGATGTTGGTCCACGCTGATTAACTGGAGCCACTGTCCTCAGTGTTGGAATCTGTGCTGACTCGAGCATATTGTTTATTTGAGGGTGTTCATTGCTGTTCTCATTATTATTTAGACCCATATCTAAATAATGTCAAGGCAATTCTGTCAGGGATTTGGTCAGTTAACAGGATTCACTGAATGTGTTTTGTATGATGTAGACAACACGTCAAGGATGGAGGACTAAACTTCTGACGCAGTTGCTTACATGTTTTGGCATTCTGTAGACACAGCCTCTGTGGTTATCAGCTGGAATTACTACAAGTTAGAAATCAAGTTGTTTGAAATGCTCAGTGTGATATTTGGTATGAAATTGAGTAACGGAATGGGGGATGGGAAGAGGGCTCCAAAATACAAATATGCAAGCAGATAATACATATTTAAAAATGAGGACTTGATGAAAGTAAAACAGCCATGTAGAATCAATGAACCCCAATTTGTATATTTTGAAAACAAATGTATTATTAAAACAAATCAATGGCTGTGAGAATCTTTGAAGTTGGGACTTTACATAGGATCAAATAAATTCACTCTTGAATAATCTGAACATAGCTCACAAGCAAGAGAAACTGACACTGATTGATAGGATGGATATAGCATCAAACTTACAAACTAAAATTAATAGTTAAATGATCCTGTTAGGTTGTCTACACCAAATATATTCACTTCTGCTGGTTAGACCCATTTTTCAGGGAGCATATAAAACCACTGGTTTTATGGAATGGATCTGTCAAGTCACAATATATTTGAAGCACAGTTACCTGACAAGCTGTGTTATGTATCTATATAAAATGAAATCTATAATCGATAGATGAACTTAAATTCTGGGATGTAATGGCTCAACTTTGATCACGATGACAGACAAAGAAATTTAGTGATCTGGAGAAATGCCAAACTATCATTAACAGTTAAAGTAATATCGTGATTTGGTCACATAGCGATTGTACTTGCTGAGTAATTCAGTGTCATTTTATCAGTATTCTTCAGACTGCAGGCTACCTGAGAAAGAAAGAGAACCAGTTTTATAGATTATTTATAGAGTTTTCAGGTGAAATGACCAGGACAGAAGAAAAGATCAAGGTCTGAAGTTCCTGCTGACTCCTCCTCAGCTCTAAAACTCACTTAATTCTATGAGATGAAATATCGCTAGCTTCCCAAGTCCTATTTCCCTACTGAACCCAGAAACCCTAAGCATCCCTAAATGTTTATGAAAGGTAAGCAGGTAATTTAAATTTAGGTTTACTTTCCAACCTCCACCTGTGGCTCCAACTTCCTTCCTAGATTGTATGGATCCAATGGAAAGTTAATCACCATTTTACCTTACAAAATATGTTTTGAGGACTCTTTGGAAATAATAAAATGAGAAGATGGTATTTTCCAAATTTTTTAGAGTATAACATGATAAAAGAGAATTTGTCTTAATCAAATTTGAACAGCTCCGTCTGTAAATTATTTCTTCTATGCTCTAAATTCCGATTCTGTTAGATGACAGTGTAATCAATTTGCTTCTCTTAATTGTTGGCATGATCAAATGGGCTTTGAATGACTATAATATATAATTTTTTTCTTCAATGATCAGTAGCATTATGCATCCTGCAGAGTTTACTATGAGATAGTTGTCGCATTTATTTGTTTAAAAATAAAAAGAATTTGTAGTAGAAAAGCTTTACAAATATTTTTAAGAAATATTTTGGGTGTTCCTTTTAACTATTCACCACAAATTTTATTTTAGTATGTACTATGACTTGACTTTAACAAATGCATTTTCATTTCTCCCAATCCTTTAATTGCTTTAAAATAGCATCAGAGAGGTTTATATGCTTTACTTACATGTGTGGCTTTTGTCCATGAGTAAGGGGCCATTTCTCATTATTTCTTTTAATTAGCATCTATATAAATAAATAGATGTTGTTTTTTGAGGAGTTAACATTCATAGCCTAACTGTCCTCATGTGGAAAAATACACTAACCTAGATATTGAATATAAATGGTACGATTCTATCGTGTTCTTGTAATGGTAAGCAGTGAAGAATTACATACGCTTTGCAGAATGTGAATTGATTACTACTGAGAAACAAACATACTCTCCATTGGAATACCTTATTTTAATATAGGTACTATTAGAACTAACAATTTACTTCTCTCTAGTTATTTTGAAATACTAATCAATGCTACATACACATTCTCAGTTGAGAATTGGCTTTGGATTTTGTATTTCCTTTTATATGCATTAACTGTGTAAATTAAACTAGTGCCTAAAATGTATAAGAACTAAATGAAAGCTGACTGTGTCTATCCCATGCCAACATTCTCAGATGAAAAGTGAAAAACTGGGTTTTGACACATCTGGGTGTGGTTTTCTGTGTGATCTCAAATCTCTGAATACTGAATATACTCCATGGCTAACATTTTTTTTCTTTTTCATTCTTTAGTCATATATTTAGCATTGAAGTGCTATTTGAAAGACATTTCTGTTTCACAAAATATACTGGATTAGAAGTCTAAGACAGTCATTTGTGAAGGAGACATTTACTGTTTTAGATTGACAGTGTGGATAGCTGGATTAAAACAATATTTGTGAACTTTGCTCTAATGGAATCTTTTCTTTCTATAGCTCAGGCACTGTACTTAGCACTACTTGCAGCAGAGGTGGACACTATTACTGACACTGGAGAGTAGGGTGAGCTGGTCAAACCTAGAGGGTAATGAAAACATACACTGTTTACTTGGAGGACATTTTCTTAGTCCTGTGTACAGTCTTAAATGTCCCCAAACTATCTGTTCATCTGAATTACACGACATAATATTGATGGTCAAGTGGTGAAGAATAAAAGAGACTGAAAGATGGCCTATTTTTGCTCAATAAAGGTTTGTTACCAAGACTACAATGTATATGATCCTCCATAAACCAGTTGAAAAACATGTATTAACTTTTAAAATAGTGCTTCCTCTGTGTTTCATAACTTAAGAACTTATTTAAAATGTCATCCTGGAAATTTCTTCAATCTCTCATTGCCAGTGTCCCAGAAAACCTTTACTTTAATTTCATTTTTTTTTAAATAGTGTTCCACGTTGGCAGAGATTTTTGCCTTTTTGTTCACAAGAGTCTCACGTGCTGAGACCTAGCTGCCCCGTAGAAGGTGCTCAAATACTGAAGCAGCAAAGGAAGAAGTAAAGGAAGCAACAAGGTGGCATATTCTAGTATGAAAATAGGGTATCATAACAGGAAAATCGTAAGACTTAGTCTTTTAGGGAAAGAGAATAAATATGATATATTAGTTTGGGTTTTTGTTTGTTTTGATTTTAGGCTATTTTTCCTTGGCCTTTTTCTCTGAAAGGTTTATCTATGGGCCTATGGCTTTGTCTTTAAGCAGAGTAGACAGGGCACCCCTGGAGGAATTTTGGAATGCAGCTCCATGTCATAGACATAACCCGCAGGGCGTGTATGTGTCTGTAATTGGAACCCAGCTTGGACATTCACCTGAACTTGTACAGGTCACTTGATTTAGTATTAGTTTCGAACCTCTTGGATTTTAAGGAATTGGACTAAGATTTTCCTCTCCATTCTGCTAAGCCCTCGTTTCTTAGCAGACATAAGCCCAAGGGCTGCTGAGTATCTAACTTAAAATCTGGAAGATGGGGCTCTGGACTCCACAAACCCTCACTACTAGCGTATCTATTCTTTTATCTAATTTATTTGTCAGGCTTACACACTCTGCATACACTTTTGGTGGAGAAAGGGAGTCTGAGTCTAATGTGATTTGACAATAACGTATCTGAATAACGTAATCTCAGTGATCCATTCTCTCCATCTGCTCAGTCAGCCATTCAGTCACTCGATAAATATTCTTTGAGATTCTCAAATGTGCCTGCCATTCCACTTTTTTTTTTGAGGATCCAACAGTAAACAAAAGTAGTAGTAATTATGAACATGAATATTGTACTTAATAGGTACCCGGCACTGTTTAAAATGTTTTAATTATTAAGTATTCTCAGGATTAGTTAATACACATTGCAGTTACCCTTTTTGCAAGGTGAGGAAATTGAGGTAGAAAAATGTTGACTGAATTGTTACACAGTGAATATGTAGATACTTGAATGCATATTAGCCCAATTAGTGTTTGCAACTTTGGGAAAGTGTGAGATAGAGAATAAGCTTTCTCTGAATCAGCAGAACCATAGACTGGGTAGGTGTGTGCAAAAAAGTTAATTAGATAGTATCACATTGATGAAATGAACTCTATGATCCTTGAATACCTTCTCACTTTTTATCCACTGAGTCATAATTAAAGAGATTAAAACGTGGGTTAAAATATAAACCCTGGAAAAAAGTCCTCTTTCATCCCATAATGGAGACATAAACTAGTTAAAAGAAATGAAAATTTAGGGCAGATCTTTTTCCTCTGCAATGTCAATCTCTCTATTTCTCCTTTCATTATCACCTTATTTGTGGGTATTATCACTTAATGTTCTTTGGTATTGGAGTTCACAAATCAATTTTAAATATTTCTAGGATGCATTTGTGTTATCCATGGATGTATCATCATTAACTGAAACCTAATAACTGCTCCTGCATCTCCTCATACACATGTGCATGCACTATCTGCACTTGTACGTGCTCCTGTCTGCATCTGCTTGTTGCAGGCATTCACTGTAGTAGTGTCTCTCCTACATCTGTGCTTCCTGGCATTTGTGAACATTCTAATTTGTGGGTGCATACACTTAGTATATGAATACTCTCATGTTTACATTTGTATGCGTGCATGTACATGCCGGGCTCATGTATTCATGGATATTAATTCAGCAAAATATGCATGTATCAGTTGAGTACCCTTTTTTCTATCCTGATTCTATTTTTACTTACATGTTCCATTTTTTTTAACACAGGAATTCTAAAAGCACAGTAGATAACTGTATGTATAGTTAAGTGAATGTCCAGTGCAGTTGTAGGGAACACACTGTGCTGATCTTGGCTGTGCAAATGGACACACCAAATTCGCATCTCAAATCAGGCATTTGATGTGGACAATCTCCATCCATCAAATACCGAGAGAGGCCTGCCCCATGCACCTGTTTGTCTTTTCATTTGTCTACAGTTACACCTAGTGTAGGGAATTACATTTGGAGTTATTCACCAGATGTTCAAAAGAGGGGAATTTCTTTCAGCATGATTTTGTATGATGGGGCCTCAGAGGAACTTAGCAATCTCCTTACAGTAACCAAATTGTTTTTATTTGGGGAAAGTGAGGTAAGTAATTATACTACATGCTCTGACTGTACTAGAGCAGAGAGACACTACACTTAGAGAAATAACAATGAAATCATAGGCTCAAGGAAAGGGAGGTGTTTCATGTATCTCAAATCTTCATGAGAAAATGTTCTTATGGCAGGAATTTGGTGTAGAAGTTTCCTGCTATGGGTTGCTTTGAAATCACTACTCTTTTTAAAACCAGTGTCTGTTTATTGAGGAAATACTTTGCTTAGGTTTGTCTTTTTTTTTTCCCTTTCTCTCTCTCTTTAAAGTGATGCATTGGTGCTTTGTCTGTTCTCTATGTGTTTACTTTGAAATTTGTGTAAAACATTAACTAAGTGTATGGCTCTTACTTGCAGAATGAAATACTAATGACTCCATGATACAACTGCCAAGGTTAACTGGCTTTTACTCGAGATCTGGGACACTTTGAATAATTTTCTTTTCTCAGATAATTTGAAGGTAGATTTGTCTAATTGATTCATACAGCACAATTTCTAGAAACTCCTGCTTCACCAGGTGACCTGACAGATAATTATTGTCCTTTAACACATCATAGATTTTAATATCTCTGGTTATTCTCTTAGAGATCAATAAACAATGCAAACTCAGCGTTCTCTTCTGTGAAGATGGACCTGTGTGCTTTGCTTAGGCCATGGGTTAGGGCAGGCACGGTGGTGGTGGTAGATTATTTTAGGAAATCCTCAGAAGCTTTCCCGAGTTTGGGTCTCAATTTTGTGACTTGAAGTATACTACTGCCAGATCAGATTCCCAAAACTTACTCATTGCCTGCATATAGCTAAACCTTTGGAAGTGCTACACTTGAGTATGAGTAAATACTTGGAGTCAGACTGCCTGCATTAAATTCCTTGTTCAGCTTCTTAACTGTGTAACCTTAGGCAACTAGCTAACCTCTCTGTGTTTCAGTATCTTCAGCAGTAAATTGGGAATAATAAGACAGCATACCTCATGATGATAATAGCTACTTCCTTTAAATACTAAATGAGGTTCGAGAAATAGGACAAACAGTGACTATTTAAGTTAACTACTTCTATCTCAAAGGTATCCATATATACATAAATATATTCACAAATGTCCAGTAGGAAAATCGTGACGCATTTAGAATTGGACATATGCAGAGTATATTTCTCTTTGTGTGTGTGTGTGTATGTGTGTCTAACAGAAAATATTTGTCTTGCTTAAAAAGAAACTCTCCTCATTTGGTTATCTGAAGAAAAAGAGTGGATTTGTCCAGATGATGCCATGTTGAACTCGTATTTCTTAAGACATTGGATGAGTCAAAATATGACCATCCTGTTAAAATCCCTGGGTAGGGTCATGAAATGTCTTTCCATTTATTTACACAGTATCATCAAAGACTTTTTCTCCTAAAAACATCTAATTTCTGTCTCTTGTTGAGAATCAAAAATACTAATTAAAGGATTCTGTTTGTTTCCTAAGAATTTTATAAGAATCTAATTATGTCCTTTACCCTTCTTATATACATTATTTTCCAGATTGTTTTTTTATTATTTATCTTAATTGGTAAAGAATAACATCTGGGGGGAAATGAGAAGTTTATTTACCCCTGACTTGCAACCGTAATAAATTTCAGTAAGATGTTCCGTAGGCTATAATCTAAAGGGATGTTGGACAGTTCTTTTCAAAAATTAAATGAGTTGGTACATGAATAAAAATGTTTACATGCGTCAATGATATTTTTATAGGAAAAGAAGAAAAATACATGCAGTCCAGGTTGTTTTTTGCTTTCCCAGTTTTCACCTTGCATAGGCCCAGCTGTAGTTTTCCTGGGGCCTTTAAAATATCAATAAAACATTTATCAAAACCAAGTCTCATTTCAGATTTTATGGTAGAAATGATTTTACACACATTCATTACTTTTTTGAAATTAGATTTTTGTTCTCTTCTGGGAAACAGAAGCATCAAATTTCCTTTTCAATTTTTCCTCATCCCTACTTCAAAGCTTCAAAGCCTAGTGGACGTCTTTATTCCCTCTCTCTCCCTCATTCTCCGTTTATTAAAGGAAAGTATGTGAACAGACTCCTTCCTGATGGGCCCTGAAATTTCTTTTGAGGGAGTAAATGAGATAAGGTCTCTGTGGACCTAAAAGCTCCTTGAAAAGTTTGGAATTCTTAGAAGTAACACACTCATTAAATATCAAGTTTTTACATTTAACAGTTCTCTAAATTGTCATCCTGTGTCATCCTTTCCCCTACAATCTATTCACGATATAGTGTCCATATTGGTTCTTTAAAAAAAAAGTTACATCATGACATTCCTCTCTTTAAAACCACCCAATCATTTCCAAGACGACTGAGTAT